GAATCTGCTCCCTTCTCCTGTTGGTTTGGGAAAGTAAATACAAGATCCAATTATATATGATGTCGAGCATGTTTTCTTATTTACAAATTATGATGTCGAGCTTTTTTTCATATTTAATAATCACATCATCTTAAGAGATAAATTAATTTGTCACTAGTAACTCTCAAATATTTAAATTAATTTTATTGGTTAAATTTCTCTTATTTGTTTAGTTAAAACTCTTTGAGTTTTATGTTTGATGATATTCTTAAAATATTATAGGACAAATTTGATAGTGCTGACATAAATGGTCAAAGAGATCATGTCTTGAAATATATGAGAAGGTTATGGAACAATTGGAGGGGATCATTGCACATGATTGTGAAATTTAAGCCATTGCGCGACATTCTAAAGGATGTGCCAGAGGGAGTCGACAAGAGTGATTGGGAATGGTTGGTCAAGGAGCACTTCTTATCTGAAAAGTTTAAGGTTTGGCTTCATAACAATTTATAGCATCTTAGTTTTTTTAAGCAGCAGACCACACCTTCTATGTTCTGTTGTTATTATAGGAAAGAAGTACAAGAAACTCAATGAATAGGTCTAAGTTGATTATGCCTCATCGTACTGGTAGCAAGCCTATCAGAGAGATTATTTATGAACTAGTAAGTAAATCGTGTTAAGAAACCCCATCGTTGTTTAAATGATTTGTTTGACTTGTTTATTTAAACGCTGAGGCAAAGATGGTAATCCACCAAATATGGCAACTGTTTTCTTTGAGACTCATAAGAAGGACGATATGCTTGTCGAACCTGAAACCAATGAAAAATATGTATGTTTATTGATAAATTTTATTTTACTCCTTCCTTTGACTAAAAGTATTGCATTATCTCACAACTTATAATTTTTTAGGCTGAAATTCAAGAACTGGTACGATCTGAGCCGTCTTTTTACAAACATTGAGGTTGTAAAAAGGTGTTTTGGACCTCAATGCAAGAGTCATGTGATTGGATTTGGAGGTGGAATAACCGCTAAGGAGTTGAAAGGCGGTAACTCCTCTAAGGTTGCACTGTTGGATGAGCTGAATGCAACTCGAAAAGAAAACCTATCACTTAAAAGACGCCTAGATAACTTAGAGAGTACAGTTGCATGACTTGCAAACAGATTTTCTGATCAGCCTTCATCAACACTATCTTCAAGTGAATCAGATACAAGCATCTGACATGTTAGTAAACTTTTTATGAGTTTTTGACTAAAATAGTCCTTTATCTATGGGAGTAGATTTATTTTTGTCCTTCAAATATAACCTAGAGAATTTTTTGTCCCTTAATTTTGCTAAAGTGGAGCACCCTTAGTCTCACTAACATAACCAAGTTAAAAACTAACGGAAGGGGCAAATTTTCTAACGATGCTTTCTCTGAAGCTTCTCAAATGATATGGCGGGTCATTGTTTTCTACCGACAAACGATGAATTACTGCACTTTCACGATTAATTTGGTAGTACTTCCTCCGGCCACACCCTTCCCTCCTAGAAATCCTTTACAAATCACAGTTAGCAATTGTTAACTTAACGTGACCACGCACCAAACAGATCTTATCATTGTTCTTAGTTCACTGTCAACAAAAACAAGCACTCCCATTTGTTTACAGTGAGCGTAGAGTATAAGAAATACTCCACATTAAAGTTGCCAAATGCACATTCAAAATCCGTAACAAGATGAGTAGGGACAGAGAATCATCTGATGAAGAAGATGACCGAGAGAACTTGATCCAGCAAAACGAACGTGTACATGACCATACCAAATCTCCACTTCGCTCTAGATTCCAAATTGACGACGTCAAGGACCGATTTTCTTTTAATTGGCGCTTTAATTTCACCTTCAGTAAGAGGTATTTCTTAGCAATTACTCGCCCAGTCTTAGTACTCATTCTTTATTACACTACCGACATCAAAAACCTATTTCAAACCACCGTTACCAACATTAAGTACGATGGTTCCATCAATTCCATGCGTGAGTCCAAATTGAATGTTGGTTCCATCAACAATTACTCATTATTTGATCTCTACAACTGCTATTGATAAAGGTTAAATTAGTTTCACCTTCCCCTAAGAAATGAAGAAGGAAAGAAAACGTGCCTCAATCATGAAAAAGGATAGCATTGTTAGTTGAAATCTCCACATATGATAGTTAATTTAAAAAACTATGTTTCCTACATTAATTACTCCTTGGTTAAAGGTTGAGTTGTCACTATTTTAAACTAATAAAATTATAGAACCTATAGGGATATTATTTAAGAAGATCTGGGGAAAGCACCGTTAGAAAATTTGCCCCTCCCGTTAGTTTTTAACTTGGTTATGTTAGTGAGACTAAATGTGCTCCACTTTAGCAAAGTTAAGAGATAAAATATGCCCTGGGTTATATTTGAAGAACGAAAATGAACCTACTCCCATAGATAAGGGACAATTTTAGTCAAAAACTCAACTTTTTACCAACCTTTTACAATTATCACATGTCATATTCATTTATTTAGTCACCCTGTCACTTTCTACTGCCATATCTTTCTTTATGCAATTATAATGCCACTTATGATATGATGAGTATTTCTTAATCAAATGAATAAACAGAACTTTCTTATTTTTCATGTCAACAACTCATGTGCCTCTCGCTTTTTTTTGTTGAAGGATGAAATAAATAAATAATCGCTCTTCATGAACTGAGTGATCACCATCCTACTTCACTATGAAAGCCTTCTATATTTCTTAATCCATTTTTCTTGATCACTTATAGAATCTATTTGTCCTTTGCTGAACTTTTTCCTTTTCTTGTTGGTTAAATCAACAAGATTATATGATATTTTATCTAATTTTGATACTTTTCTATACTCAAGAATGTGCTATAAAATTTTTGCAAATATTTATACATAGACAGTGCACTTATTTCAAGTATCCAGAGAACTCTAATTCACTGGCATATTAGTGGATAGCACTTATTTGTGCAGAGATCTCTATTTTGTTCTTTGAAATAGTAACTTTCTTGTATGCTGTAGCATATTGTTTTATTAGTACTATATAAAAAAGTAGTAGCAACTACTTGTAGGTACAAAAATAAATGGTAGTGTCGCTACCATATGTAGTTTTCATTTTCCTTTTCGACTCTTTATTAATATTGACAAGCGTTAGATAGTCTCATTCATGATACAAATAGACAGAACAGTAGTACGAAAAAGATGACAGAAATTTTATGAATTAGTTTGTTTGGTATTTTCTTCGCAATGTAATTATGTGTACTGATATGTTTTGTTTGCTTTTTAAGATTCTCTTTTTAGGAATTTGTCTCTTCATTGTTGTTGTTTGCCCCCTCCCCCTCTTTGGTATTAGAAAAAAAAGAAAACAGTGTCAACAAAGGTACACCATTACTGGAGATGGTGCTTACACTTTGACTGTAGTTTAGCTTTTTGGGACTTTCCAATCACGGTTATTTAAATTCCAGGAAATCTCTTATGATTTATATTTATAATGGCTAAGCTTGATTTATTTACTTCAATTGTTCGGTCAGCATGGTGATTAAATTTGTTCATTTATTTTTCAAATAAAGTAGCTAGAGAAGTTTTTACTAAACTGACATGAACTTGTTGTTTTAGCATATCAAATATTTGAAGTATGAAGACGTCATTAAAGAAAGTGCAAAGTAAGTTGATGCATAATAGATTTTATAGCTTTCTTCGCGGTTGTGTAGGGATGTTATCATTTGTACATATGTTACTATTTCATTTTCTCTTTTAGGAGTTGATAGTGAGAAAGTCATACAATTTAGATGGGTATATATTCTAGTAATGTGTTATTTTTTTAGTTCTTTCTAATTAACATATTAATTTTATGTGAATACATATTGATTACTTATTATTATTTCTGATGCGTGTGTGAAAGTATATGGAATAATAAATATTACTATGCAAACACCGGAAAAATTATGATATTATCTAATTGCATTTATTAAAATTTCATATTAACTGAATTATTAAATAGGTATTAGTGAAAACAAATTTGGTCATTAAAAATATTATCGTTAAAAATAATATAAAATTAACGAAGGGGAACTCTGGTCGCTAAAAATAATTATAGTAATCAAATTTGTGGTTGCTTTTAAAGCGCTTTAACGACCAGATGAGAAATCAACGAGGGAAAAATTTGGTCACAAAAGAGTAGGTATAACGACCATAAATTATGTTGTCGCTAAAGAATTTTTAATAACGGACCTCCAATACGATCATTAACTTTTAACGACGGAGCATTTAGTGACCGCTGACGACCAGTTTTTTCTTAGTTGTTAATGACCAATAGCGACCATATTTGGGCTTTTAACGACTGGATTTTTCCTCACTAAAGATCACTTTTCTTGTAGTGATAGTAAGGTTATTTGCACATAACCTAAATAATACAAATCATAATTTGACATACTTTGTGTCCGTGCATCGCGCGGGTACTAATACTAGTTTCTTTCTAACAAAAATCAATTTATAATACAGCTGTTTGATTTGGAATCCCATTAAGATTTTGTTAAAACGTAAGAAAGGAAGTATTTCCGAATATTAGTCTTGAATAGCCGACTTGTGTGACTTCGTGTGAACTCTCAACTCTCAATTCTGAATTCAGATTTGTTTATTTGATAAAATAGTTAAGTACATCTATCAAAATCTTTCAAATTATTTGCATATATAGAGATGCATTAGGTATTTCAGGGTTCAACATCTAATACGCTATCAACTCTGGAATTCCTTTTATTGGAAGATAATTTCGTTGAGGAGGATAAAACGAGGGAGAATTTATACAACTTGTAGGTTTTTGTTTAATACATAAATACGTCATTACGTCTATTAGCTAAACATAATACTAAACGGTATTATTTCCGTTTCTGTTCAAAGGTTATTGTTTTGCCAGTGACTCCAGGTAAAGAAAAATAAAAAAGAAGAGTACATAATTATTCAGGGAACAAGACAAATATATAATTAGTGCATTGCAAGAAGTTTATTTATTTGTATCAAAATGCCGTATGTGAACGACGAGAATTAACAAGGTACAACTATAGAAAGATGTTTAATTTATCTGTAAGTAATCCTAAAGAATAGAAGAGGAGAATTGTACAAAAAAGAAGAAGAAGAAGAAGAGTAGCAAGAAAATCAAATAATCATGATCTTAACAAATTCCTCATAGCTAACGAGACCATCTCCATCAAGATCTGCCTCTCTGATCATCTGTTGGGCTTCTTCATCTGTTAATCTTTCTCCCAAATTCATCATCACATTTCTTAACTGCATTTACAATCACCACCAACAATTTCACTATTATAATATGTTTCAACACAGCTAAAGTCAAAAACTCTATAGCTGTCATACGTAATTAATTATTTGTGGTCTTCTTCGTTTGAGACAGAAAGTTAAGGTCTTTTGATCAAGATTTAAATAAGGGAAAGAACTCAATGAAATAAAGAGTGTAATTTAAACCTCATTAGCTGAAATAAATCCATCTTGATCTCGATCAAATACTTTGAATGCTTCTTTTAGTTCTTCTGATACGTTGTCCTGTACGATGAGTTTATGAGTTTAACTTCTATACAGTCTGTGCAAAAAAGATTATTCTAACATGTCACCTAAAACTTTGCTACAGACAATCGCCCATATATAAAAGGTTAATTAATATGATCGAAAAGTATGATAGTTTACCTATACAAAATGTTAGAATATACCGTGGGCTTAGAATCTATATATCAACATAATCACTTTATAATTACCTTGAGTTTTCTAGCCATGATATTCAAGAAATCTTCAAAATCAATAGTGCCATCACCATCAGGATCCACTTCGTTTACCATTTCTTGAATCTCTTCCTTGGTTGGATGTTCATTTAAAGATTGGATTACTGCCGCAAGTTCCTCCATTCTTATCACCCCTTTATTTCCATTAACAAACAACACAAGCTTTAGATTTCATGAGCAATATGTACAAAATAAAATTCCATTCTCTCAAGGGTTTATTAAGTGGTACAAGGAGACAATCGACTTATATTATTGCATAAGTAGAAATGATGTCAAATCCAGAGTTTTAGCGAAATCGTGTGATATACTAATGTACAAGAAGTGCTAAACTTACCATCACAATCCTTGTCAATAACCCAGAAAGCTTCACGAAACTCAGAAATTTGTTCTTCTGACAATGCATCAGCCATAGCTAATTGCTCTAAATCGTAATTTGAAGCAAAATAGAACAACTCTTTAATTTGGAGAAGTACGAGAAGAATTGGACACGATACACATATACCAAACTTTGTCCTACTTTTAAAAGGGTGTAATTACGACATTTTCCACAAAAAGTAAATTGTGGGAAGTCAGATAAACAGACACGCTTGAGGAAAAAATGGAATTAAAATTACATTCAACATTCAAAGATTGAAGCTTCTATAAGATGGAGTCCAAATTTTCAATAGTCAAGAATTGAATATTAAATTGAGGGGACACCAGCAAAGACTTGACACTATCATATTAGAATGGCCGGGGCTACAGCCTTTCATTCTCGTCAATTGAACCTTGACTTTTTAATTCTTGACTTTAGTTTTGATTATGATGGTTAGTTATGAGTAATTATGACTCAAGAAATAAGAAATACGTACTCCAATTTTATTCCAGTCAAACTATTGATTCGAAGTATGCCAAACGCTTTACAGTAGAAATACTCTCCACTCGGAGATGATTCTCCACTTTTTGATTAAGTCATTCGCATGCACTTAGGAAATATTCAAAGTTCAACATGCAAAATCGTTATCAATATTAACTTTCTCCTATGAGAGTCAACATTTCTTTGTTTTTTTTTTAGACAATGGATTTAGCTAAATTTTGCTTTTCAATATTGTGAGTTTGACCGGGAGTACGTTTGGCCAAGTTGTTAAAAACTACTTTTATTAAAAAGTATTTTTCGAAAAAATTCTTTTCGAGATTAGCAATTTGTGTTTGGCCAATTCGTTTGACAAATGTTTTTTCCGATAGTTGATAAACAAATTATGTTTGGCCAATTTTTTCAAAAACTACTTTTGAGTGTCAAATTTCAAAAAAAAATAAATATCAAAGGTTTAGTTTACAATTAGTATTGTTTTAAAAAAGATAAATTTTAAATATTTATTATACAAAAAATTAATTAATTAATTTTATTTAATTAAAGTATAAATCTTAAATTAATAGATTAAAGATTTTAATCAATACAAAATATAGTGATATAGCAATAGTATTAGTAGGAATTTATGTGCTTACAAGTTATTATTTTTGGCTTATTCACATGTTTGGTAAACACTAAAAAAATACTTATAATAAGCTAAAATTTACCAAAAATCATAAGTTAGGGGTCCCAGCTCTTGTGTGTAAGTTAATCATAAGTTAATCTAACTGTATAATTACACTTGTGTAATAAAACAGTAAACTTGTAATTACACTATGACAAACAAACAGGTCGTCGTAATTACACAACTGTATAATTACTACCCTAGTAATTACATCAATTCCAATTACTTGGTGGTTTTCCAAACAGACCCTTAATATCCTTCCCAAAACAAAGCTAGTAAGGATCTCTTTCCGTTCCATTTATGCTATTTTTCCATGTCCAAGTAAAAGTACTTTATTGTAAACAAAGACGGGCTTGTTGAGTTTGCATTGAAGCTAGAAATCGATTTATTCTTCATTCGAACTTAAATATATATTTACATTTATTATAAAATATTTTTACACAGTGAATGCAGTTGAAATGTTAATTTCCTTATTTTCCAGGTCAATATATATTGATCCACAATATTTATTAGTAAAGTTGTCTTTTAAATGAAATATAACTAATGTTAAATTATTTCACTGGCGTATGAAAGTTAAAATCTTTTGATTTATACAGCATTGTGTTTTTGGTATACAAACTTGAATTCGCTAGAATATCGAGTGTCTTATTGAAAAAGGAATAGAAAAGAAGGCACTTATATGACTTTGACTGTGGAACTAGAACGCAAAAACAGCAAAACTAATATTTTCCAAGTTCAGCTTGTCTGTTGGTGACTAATTATTAAAGACAACGGAAGGGATCAAAGGCGTTTATTGACTTCCAAAAAATAAAAGTTAAAGTGTGGGTGAACTAATTTGTTTATCAGTTATCAAAAGTATTCAAAGAGGTTTTCTTTTCTATCGATCTTTTGAAGGTTTGGATTGTAATCCATATTCTCTCGCACTAATAATTAAGAATTCTATTAAAACAAGTGTACTATGGCTGATCTCCATTTTTTTGCATTTGAAGGGAGAATTGGAAGATATCTGGTCAAAACTGAGCTGCAATATGATTGATTATATTGTACACAATGGGAACTGAGAAATGCTAATTAATCGGCTCATTCTCAATTGACTAAGGCCTGAAACACATGATTTTTGACCCTTTCCACTTTGGTTTGGTCTGACCCCAAACTTAATTAAATCCTCAGCTACCAAATGATGGAAAAGATTAGAAGTTAGCGCTTCGTTTATGATTGCCTAGATCGATCTTGAACACACTAGTTGAGCCTAATATTTTAATTCGAAATGATTCGGAAGTCAAATGAACGGGTTGGATGCATATCTTGTTAGTCTTTATAGAGGAAATTATGTCCAATAACAAGTATAATTGTGATTTTTCTGATTTTTTTTAAAAATTACTTTTACTATAGATAAATATATAATATAGATTAAGAAAAATATTGTGATATTAAGTAAGTAAAAAAAATATATAGGCCAAGGCTAATAAGATCGAGGGTAAAATAAGTATTTTAACAATATAATTGAGTTCGAAGGAGCAGAATGTCTATTGTTTAATGTTGGAGGAGGAATTTGATTTTTAAGACAAAGTTGGGGGATCAAAACGATTTTCGCCCTTTTATTTTAATATTCCGTAGGTGCTTTTATCGCTATGACGTGGCAGTATATCATTGGTTATAAGTTGAACTGGTCACTTGATGGAGTGACTTTTTTTTTTTTTTTTTAAATATTCCTATTGGACGTATCTTTTAGTGGTGTCTTTTCTTTTTTGATATTCTAGGTCGCTACTTAAGTGTGATGATCCGATAGGTCACTTTGAGTTTTAGCCTTTATTTGTATGTTCTGAGACCTCGACTAGCTCCGTTTAGTGTTTCTCAATTTGCGTGCACAGTCCATGTCTTGCTCCGGAAAGCTTTTATGTGAAAAACCGAAGAAAATATAAAATTTTACCTTAAAACTAATTTGAGTTGACTACGGTCAATTTTATGTAAACCGATATGGATCTGTGTTTTACTGGTCCCGGTGGGTCCGTATCGTAATTTCGGGACTTGAGCATATGCCCAAAATCGAATTCGGGAGTCCCTAACTTGATTTAACGTAATTTGTTCAAAATTAGTAATTTGAAGGCTAAAAGAATTCATAAGTTTGACCGTAGGTTAACTTTGTTGTTAACGAGTTTGAATTTTGGTTCTAGAACTCGAAATAGGTACATTTCACTATTTATGACTTGTCTGCAAATTTTGGTGCAAAACGGAGTTGATTTGATGTGATTCGGACGTCTGGTTGTAAATTTGCATGTCCTTGAATTTCTTTGAAAATTTCATATATTTTAATGTTCAATTTGTAGTTCTAGGTTTTATTTTGATATTTTGATCGTGCGAGCGAATTTGTATGATATTTTTAGACTCGTCTGGATGTTTGGTTTGGAGCTCCGAGGGCTCAGGTGAGTTTCAGACGCGTTTTAAAGAGTTTGGTAGTTGTTGGTGTGACCTGGTGTGCAGGTCTCGCAAATGCGAGATCAGAGGTCACATTTGTGACAAATGACCAAGTTTGTGATGATCGTATTTGCAAACAGTTTGTTCGCAATTGCGAAGATGGCCTGGGAACAACAGGGATCGCATTTGCGATCATTTCATCGCTTTTGCGACCTGTCCGTGTTCGCATTTGCGAAAACATCATCGCAAATGCGATGAAAGCAAAGATGTGGGGAGTTCGCATTTGCGAACCCCAGGTCGCATTTGCGACATCTGCGCCTGGACAATTAGCTGAGGGACGAAATTCTTATCCTCATTTTCATATTTTGGAACCCTAGCCTCGGTAGGAGGCGGTTTTGAAGAGGTAATTTTATCTACAAACTTTGGGTGAGTGATTCTAATCCATTTCTAGTCCTATTACATCAACTTATCTTAGATTTTAACATCAAAATCATGTGAATCAAAGTGAAAAATTGTGAAATTTTGTCAAGTTTTTAAAAAATAAAAAATTGAGTTTTGAGAGTCGATTTGTACTCGGATTTTGAAACTAATTGCATATATAAACTCGTGGGGTCATGGGTAGTCAGAATCTACCATTGGACCCGGGTTTTGACCGGGCGAGTCTCGGGTTGACTTTTGTTGATGTTTTAGAAAAAGTGTAAAGATCTTAGCTTTATCTATTGTAATTGATTTCCCTAACATTGTTTGTTGATATTAAGTCGATTTTGGTTAGATTCGATTGGTTTGGAGGTGAATTTTAGAGGAAAGGCCCCAGTTGAGCTTTGATTTGATTGTGGAATGAGGTAAGTATTAGGTCTAACCTTGAACAAGGAAGGATTATGATATTGATTCTGATTATATGGTGGGATCGGGTTGCGCATCACAGTGAATTTTATTGGACTCCAAATTTCAACCCGAATGAGGATAATCCAATTGTTCCTGTTTGGATAGTCATTCCTGAATTACCATGGCATTTTTACTACATGGAGGTCCTATCTGTATTGTTGTCTCCTATTGAAAGGTTTTACATCTCGACCTAGCCTCTATGCAGAAAACAAGAGGAAGTGTAGCTAAAGTCAAAATGCAGGTTGACGTGACTTAACTCAGGCCTCATCATGTTTGGCTAGGTTTTGATGAAGATCAGGATGTCAATGGGGATGGACAGTGGCTAGAAGTGGTATATGAGGATCTCCCAACATATTGCTCACACTGCAAGCACTTAGGACATGAATACTACTCATGCCCTATTCGAGAAAGAGAAGAAGAAGACAAGAAAAAACTAGCTACTGAAACCCCACAAAATAAAACCAAACAGATATCAAACAATACTGAAGGAGCAAATAGAATACAACATCAAAAGGAGCAGAATATACCAGGGCAACACAAAGAACAAAACTACAACCAAAGAGTAGTGGTACAAGATCAAAATGAAGAACAACTGGGCAAAATCAAACCTACATCACATCAACCAATAAATGCAAACCACCCCAAGGATCAATGGCAATCTCAGAAGAAGAAGAATTTCAAGGGTATCAACTAAAAAACAAGAAAGAGAAACACAAACAGTCTTATGAACAAATGAATGCAAAACAGATAACCACAAAAGTTCAGAACCATGGCTC